TTCTATTAAACATAATTGAACCAAAGCAATATTTTCATGTTATGGTTTTTCCATGCCAAATCCTTTGCATGTAAATTGATGTATCACATTTCAGAAAGAAAATAACGTTTAGAAATATGTTCACCTAATGTTTCCAAATCTGAATGAATGTAATATTTTTATATGAAATAAATAGGAAGCTAGGTATAGTAACATGCACTTCTAATCCCAGAACTTGGGAAGCAGAGGCAGGTGGGTATATTTGAGATAAATGTCAGCCAGGTCTACATAGTGAGTTCTAAGGCAGCCAGTGAAAACAAAAACCAAAAAAAAAAAAATATAATATGACAACCAAAAGATATTGGCTATATGTATTTATTGTCCACTTTTAGTGATTTGATATCAATCACTTCAGAAACATGGGTTCTCTGTGCAGAAAATTTGATCTCATTTAAAAATTTTAAATATTAATAAAAGGTAAATCATTTACATTGCCCAAGATCACTAAGGATCAAACTGACTGAGGCTTTGGGTGACTGAGCATAGTTGTATAAAAGTGAAGATGGCACTAGAAATGGTTTGGGGCGTGGAGTACTCACTAGGTAGAATGTTTGTCTCATGCATAGATCAATGCCCAGTGCCACCCTAACCCCTGAAATAGAGATGTATAGCTATAATCTAACATATGGGATATGGAGGCCAGAGGAACAGAAGCTCAAGGTTATCCTCAGCTATGTATCAAATTTGACAGAATCCCGTGCTAAATGAGACTATATCTCAAAATAAAAACAAATAAAAGTTTTCTGGCTATTACAAATAGGGCTGCTATTTCAAACATGGTTGAACAAATGTCCTTATTGTGTACTTGAGAATCTTTTGGAGTGGTATAGCTGGATCTTGAGGAAGCGCTATTCCTAATTGTCTGAGAAAGCGCCAGATTGATTTCCAGAGTGGTTGTACAAGTTTACATTCCCACCAGCAGTGGAGGAGGGTTCCCCTTTCTCCACAACCTCTCCAGCATGTGTTGTCTCTTGAGTTTTTGATCTTAGCCATTCTGATGGGTGAAAGGTGAAATCTTAGGGTCATTTTGATTTTGCATTTCCCTGATGGCTAATGAGGATGAGCATTTCTTTAAGTGTTTCTCTGCCATTCGATATTCCTCTGCAGAGAATTCTCTGTTTAACTCCGTACCCCATTTTTTAATTGGATTACTTAATTTTTTGCTGTTTAACTTCTTTAGTTCTTTATATATACTGGATATTAGCCCTCTGTCAGGTATAGGGTTGGTGAAGATCCTTTCTCAATCTGTAGGCTGCGTTTTGTTCTGAGGACCGTATCCTTTGCTTTACAGAAACTTTTCAGTTTCATGAGGTTCCATTTATTGATTGTTGCTCTTAGAGCCTGTGCTGTTATTGTTCTGTTCAGGAAGTTGTCTCCTGTGCCAAGGAGTTCAAGGCTCTTCTCCACTTTTTCTTCTAAGCGGTTTAGTGGCTGGTTTTATGTTGAGGTCTTTGATCCACTTGGAACTTTAGTTTTGTGCAGGGTGATAACTATGGATCTATTTGCAATTTTCTACATGTGGACATCCATTTAGACCAGCACCATTTGTTGAAGATGCTATCTTTTTTCCATTGAATGGATTTGGCATCTTTGTCAAAAATCAGGTGTCCATAAGTGTGTGGAGTTATGTCAGGGTCTTCTATTCAATTCCATAGATCCACCAGTCTGTTTCTATGCCAGTACCATGCAATTTTTAGTATTGTTGCTCTATAGTACAGCTTGAGATCAGGGATGGAGATACCTCCTGAAGATCTTTAACTGTAGAGAATTATTTTAGCAATTCTGGGTTTCTTGTTGTTCCATATGAAGGTGAGAATTTTTCTTTCAATGTCTGTAAAGAATTGTGTTGGTAATTTGATGGGAATTGCCCAGATGCCCCTCAGTGGAGGAATGGATGCACAAATTGTGGTATATCTACACAATGGAATATTACTCAGCAATAAAAAAACAAGGAAATCATGAAATTTGCAGGTAAATGGTGGCTTCTGGAAAAGATCATCCTGAGTGAGCTATCCCAGAAGCAGAAAGACACACAAGGTATATACTCGGTCATATAGACATATAATATAGGATAAACCTACTAAAACCTGTACACCTAAAGAAACTAATCAAGAGGGAGAACTCTTGCTAAAATGCTCAATTCCTATCCAGAAAGGCAAAGAGGCTGGACATCAGAAGAAGGAGAAAAGAGGGAACAAGTCAGGAGCCTGACACAGAGGACCTCTGAAAAGCTCTGCCCTGCAGACTATCAATGCAGATGCTGAGACTTATGGGCAACCTTTGGGCAGAGTGCAGGGAATCTTATGAGATAAGTGGGAAATAATAAGATCTGGAGAGGACAGGAACTCCACAAGGAGAGCAACAGAACCAAAAATCTGAGTACAGGGGTCTTTCTGAGACTGATACTCCAATCAAGGAGTATGCACATAGATAACCTAAGACCCCTGCACAGATGTAGCCCATGGCAGTTCAGTATCCAAGTGGGTTCCATTGTAATAGGAACAGAGACTATCTCTGACATGAACTGATTGGCCAGCTCTTTAATTACCTCCCCCTGAGGGGGAAGAAGCATTACCAGGCCACAGATGAAGACAATGCAGCCACTCCTGATGAGACCTAATTGACTAGGATCAGAAGGAAGGAAAAGAAGACCTCCCCTATCAGTGGACTTGGGGAGAGGCATGCATGCAGATGGTGGAGGAAGGGAGGGATTGGGAGGAGAAGAGGGAGAGAACCACAGGGGGGACACAAAGTGAATAAAGTGTAATTAATAAAGAAAAGAAAAAAGAAAAAAATAGGTTTTATGTTCTGACTTACTGGTTCAATTCTGAGGCTCAGAACTCTTTCCTCACACAAAAAGTATGCTGTAACTTCCTAAAGCTCTTCTTTACTAAATGACTCATGTGCCAAATTTTTTGTAAGTCAATATTGCCATGAAAGAATGCCAATAGACTATTTTGCTTAATCAGTCTTCTATTTTATAATTAAGACAAAAAAGTCAAGGTAAAACTAATTCTGCCCTAATCTACCTTTCTCATGGTTACTTTTGGCATTTTAAATGGAAATTTCATAATTTTCTTGTTTTTTTTAAATTAATTAATTAATTTCAGTTTATTAACTTTGTATCCCAGCTCTTGCTCCCTTCCTCATCCCCTCCCAATACCTCCTTCCCTTTGTATTCTCCTCCCATGTCCCTCCGCAAGTCCAGTGATAGGAGAGGTCTTCCTCCCTTTCCATCTGACCCTAGCCTATTTGGTCTCATCATGACTGGCTGCATTATCTTCCTCTGTGGCCTGGTAAGGCAGTTCCTCCCTCAGTGGGAGTCGATCAAAGAGCCAGCCCCTGAGTTCATGTCAGAGAAAGTCCCTGTCTAGGGAACTAGGGAACTCACTTGGACACTGAGCTTCCCAGCAGGGTAAAAGCATTTGCTGAGACTCAGAGATTTCCTTGTTTTTAATAGCTGAGTGATATTCCATTGTGTAAATGTACCACAATTTTTGTATCCATTCTTCCTGTTGAAGGACATCTACATTGTTTCCAGATTCTGGCTATTAGGAATAAAGCTGCTACAAACATGGTTGAGCAAATGTCCTTGTTGTGTACTTGAGCATCTTTTGGATATATGCCTAGGAGTGGTATAGCTGAATCTTGAGGAAGCGCTTTTCCTAATTGTCTGAGAAAGTGCCAGATTGATTTCCAAAGTGGTTGTACAAATACATTCCCATCAGCAATGGAGCAGGGTTCCCCTTTCTCCACATGCTCTCAAGCATGTGTTGTCACTTGAGTTTTTGATCTTAGTCATTCTGATGGGTGTAAGGCGAAATCTCAGGGTCATTTGATTTGCATTTCCCTGATAACTAAGGACAGTGAACATTTATTTAAGTGTTTCTCTGCCATTTGATATTCCTCTACAGAGAATTCTGTTTAGCTCTGTACCCCAGTTTTTAATCAGAATGATTTGAAAACAAATAACATCTGTAATTGAAATTTTCAGTGACTAGAATTTCCAATTATCATATTAAATTCTGTTACAAAAGAGACTATTGCAGCTTTATTTTTCCAACTTTCAAAGTATTATTGTGAATTCCCTTCTCTTACCTTTCTAAATGTGTATATTTAAAACATTTAACATGTATTATTTGCTCAAATAATAGGTTCTATAAAGAATTTTTTATATAGGCATAATTGTACTCTGGGTACATTCAAGCATGCTACCTTCTGATGTATGTTTTTAAATAATACTAATAACTGAAAATAACTGTATTGATCACTGTCTTTGAGAAATAACAATATTTATTTGGGCGGCTACAAATTCTGATCTCAGGTAGGTTTTTGTTTGTTTGAGAACAATCCTGAAATTGCAGTATTGTGATTGTACAGCAAGAATCTTTCAGGTTTACCTACAGCCTATAAAGAAATAATTGCTGGCCTGATTTTTACTGAAGTCCCCAAGAATCTTAATGAAGTGTAATTCTCTTCAAGTAATTCAAATACATTAAGTTATTTCACATTGATATCTCTTCCTGATAGCCCCGGTCCATTTTTACCTTTCTTAGTGTTTGACAGCCATTTTCTATATGGGACCAGATAAATGTTTGAGTCTTTTATGACCATTCATTCTAAATAGTGGCTACTTAGCTGCTCTGTTGTGAGTAAAGCAGTCATTGAGACAATTTGGGAATAGGTGAGCTGGGTTGTGGGCACTTTAAGTCACAGTGGGTATTAATCACCCAGGATTTAATCACCAGTGTTCTGAGAAGTGAATTTTTCTGGCAGATTTTGTTGAGGTTTGTGCATTCACTCCTCATTGTGGAAGCTCTAAGACCATGCAAGCTCATAGTCACAGTGAGAGAGCAGGAGAGGCTGCATGAGGCTGTCCGTGAGTGCACATTGTACTCATGTGCCTGCGTTATGGTTATCAACAATCTTCTCCCACCTCCACCCCCTTTTTTTCTTTAAAGTTTCGATGCAAAACTGATAAATGCATCCCTTTCTGGTGGAAATGTGACACTGTGGATGACTGTGGTGATGGATCCGATGAGCCCGAGGACTGTCGTGAGTATTCTGAACAATGGGTTTAGATTTTATATTACCTAATATTCTAGGCTTAGACTAAAGCATTTTTTTCATAAATTCCCATCTTTGAAATGCACAAATTTTATCTTGAAATTTTTATTTAAAATATAAAGAGAAATGGTTGAATGTCTTGGTTTCGTTTTTAATTTTTTTTTTCCTGAAAAAAAAAAAAACCTTTGCTACACAGTGGTCAGTAGTATAGTAATTGATGTAATTTTTGACTTAATGTATTCACAAATTTTTGATACAAATGGGAAAGATATAACCATTACTGCATATATAATGAACAGAAAGTTGTATCTTCTCTGTCAGCATTAAAATCTTGAAAATGCTTGAAGAGTCAGCCTTTTCAATCCTAACTTTTATTTACTGTAAATTGATTTAATCTGCTCTTAGTAGCTACTGTAATATGTATCTTAAGTGTGATGGCTGTGGTTAGAACAGCTAGGTTAGCAATCATTGCTGACTTAGGTGGTGATGTGCAATCAGAAGTCTTCCTAGAAATCTTGCTATAGTTCACACGATAGGTCACTCTAATTCTTCACTGTCAAGCTGAAGATGCTTGCAGTCAATCCTGATAATTCCTCCAGTGTCTCAGCGCATGGTTGCCCTGACTTCCCATTGACAACTGAGCCATGAGTTGGCCTTGATTGGCCTTGACAATAGAGTTCAAGATAGGCTTGCACTGAAGAGAGAGAGAATACTGGCTAATGAAAGGCAGTTACTTACTTCTGTAGAACTTTCTAGAACCAGTTATAAAACTGTTTTACGTCTTCGGATTACTTGGATGAACTGTTTCCTCTTTGCCATTACCAATTGAATACTCTGGAAGTTGTATCACATGTAATTTTTACATATGGAAAGCAACAAGCCAGCACTTTGATGAGAAATAAAATGAAAGCCATTGCTTTTCTAATATTTTGTGTGTGTGGTTTGAAAAAAATTCATTCCTCTTTGATTTTTTTGAAAATTGCTTTATTTCAATGTGTTAGACAATGCATGATTAAAGGGACTTGTGGACAATAGGTATAAAATTATGATCAAATTATTATTTTAAAATGTTTGAATTAGAAAAATATGTCAAACGAAGGAATCCTATGCATGATGAACACTTAGTATTTGAACATTTGAATTCTTTTTATAACTTGGAAATATCATACCATCCACTTTTGTGAAAAGTTGACTACAGAGTTAATAAGAGTTTCTCACAGTTGCATGCTTTCAGAATATATGCAGTCAAATGTTTATGTTTGTTTGAAAAATTCAGAGAAGATGCACTGTTGTCAAAAAGCTGGTGTATGCTTCTTAACCTAGTTAAATCTAAATATTTTCATGTTGTATTTTAATTAAAAAGTAAAATGTGGCTACAAGTTTCCAATACACTGATTACATTTCTCTGTACATGTACATATATCAGAATCACCAAATAACATGCCAGTCCTATTTCACATTTGAGGAAGCTTCACATAAAATCCTGTGCTATGTACTAATTTCTATTGTTATCAACAGTGTAAAAATAGTCCCTTTCTCAACATTTGAGCAATATTTAGCATACTTTGTCTTTTAAAAATAATATATATTGATAGATTTGATCTAATATCTTATGGTTTTAACATTTAGTCCCTTTGTAACTAGTAATATCTTTTAGCTCATTTTATAGTTAAGTACTTAGCCCATTCTTTAAATTTTCTAGATTGTTAGTTATTTTTTAGTTGATTTTGTCATGCATTTAGAATATAAGTCCATAATTAATATATATATATATTTATATAATATAATATATATATTCTAAACATTTCTCCTTTTTCATGGGTGTCTTTTCCACTATGGTTGCTTCATATTTTTTTTAAAAAATGTTTTAGTTTGATATGAAAACCTTTATCTAATTTTGCTGTTGTTACCCAGGCGTTGGAGGTCAGTTTCTCATCCATCCTCATGGAGACATTTCGTTACATGATTTAAAAGTAGTTTTTCATGATTTTCCAATTAGATTTTTGTGATTGTTAACACATATGTGTTTACTTGTAGTCGTTTTGTTAGCTCCTTAAATATCTATTGGCATAGCACTTTTAGAGACATCACAGTGGAAACGTGGCGTATATAAATCTGTGAAGGGTTTGGATTGTTTTTTTTTTGTCTTTTGAGTTTTATATATGTCTGCGTGTTTCACCTCATTCATGTGCACAGTGCCTATGAGGCCAGAAGAGGGCATCAAATCCATCCAAACTGGTGTTACCAAGAGTTCTTAGCCACCATGGCTAATTCATGAGGATGCTGGGAACTGTACTACTGAGCCATCTCTCCAGCCCTAGTTTGTATTCAAAGAGCTCCATTATCACAATTTGTTTATATTCATAATGACTACCTGTAACCTCATCTAAGAAAGCAGGGGGGCATGACCCAAGTCTCACACACTCGAAAACTCACATGGTGCAATTTGTATAAACACAGTGATGAGAAATTCTCTGTCACTGCTAGTTCACGTTATGTACTGTATGATGTTCTAATGCATCCAAATCATCCCAAAGGCACATATTAACCTCACACTAGCTTCCGATTTTTCTTTTAGTTTTTCTACTTTTTTAAAAAGATTTATTCACGGTTATTATACGGATAACGTAATATTCATGTAATGTTATGTAGGCGTTTGTACGGGTGTCTACATGTGTGTCTGTATGCCCCACACATGCAGTGCCTGTGTTTGCCAAAAACGAGTCTATGTGCTACCCTGGAGTCACAGAGCTTGTGAGCTGCCGTGTGACTGCTGATGACTGACTGAGGAGCTCTGGAGGAGCAACTACGGCTCTTAGCCTCTGAGCTACCCCTTCAGGCCCTGAGTTATTTCATAGGCATTCATGTAAACTCTGTAACTCTTTTCTTGAGAGAGTTGTTACTATAACAAAAAACAGCAACAACAAAATATTAAAATTCTGTGTGGACTAACAGGAAACAAAAACGGAATATGTATACATCATGCAGTTCTACACTGAAAGAAGTTAACACACTTGACCAGTATTTTTTTTTAAATTAATTTTATACTAAGGAAGTAAAATATATATTAAGATTTGTTTTTTAGAGTATTTAAAGTTTTCTGCAATGCTGTATTGAAGAGCTAAATATGTTTCCCGAATCAAATTTAAATTTCAATTATGAGACTGGGGAGATGGCTCAAAGGTTAAGAGCACTGGCCATTTTTCCAAAGGTCCTGAGTTCAATTCCCAGCAACCACATGATGGCTCAAACTATCTATAATGAGGTCACATGTGCTCTTCTGGCTTGCACGCATACATACTAGCGTAATACTGTAGAGTTAATAAATAAATAAATCCTTTCAAAAAATTCAATTATGTTTTATTCCCTAATTTGAGTTAATAAAGAGCCTAGTATTAAACTAGCAGTCAGTAATTAATAATCCATGGCAATCATGTGTTCAAAAATAGTGCTTTGTTGTGAGTAATATATGAAAGTTTCAGGGTTAGATCTGGGTCTGAACCTGGTGTCTGTCTCTGGAAAATTGTACCTCTTGGGCTGAATTAGTAATATCAACAACCCTGAGCTTTCCCACATTTAAATGATCATAGTGATGGTCATGTGAGAAGCTATAATTTTTACTTATAAAAATCTACATTGATAGGTCTATCCTAGCTCCTAACACACAATAGATCTCAGTAGGTCTTCTGTATTAGTTACTATTTCTTCTATATAACCAAAGCCTATTTCAAAATACTGCTACCATTTATTAATTGTTTCTTATTATAAGTATAGTATGTAAAATATTTACTATATCAAAACACTGTATTGGTGAATATTAAATCAAAGCATGCTATAAATATGATGAGCACAGGAGGTATTCAGTTAGCACTGAGGAATGTGTGCTGAGGCCACAGTACATTATAGGCAGCAAAGCAGAAAGGAGAAATAATTATTTATATAAAGAATTGGAACTAGAGTAAACACTCTTTACTCCTGTAAGTGTAGCAGCTGACATGCACTGAGGTGAAGTCATCATAATCCCCTAGTGTATGTGAGTGCATGTGTGTCTATGTGTTCCTGTGTGCGTTTGTACATGTGTGTATGCATGTATGTGTATGCTTGAATGCTGTGTAAAGATATGTGCATGTGTAGGTCAGAGGCCAAGGTTCACTTTCCTCCCAGATGAGACAGGGACTCTTAAACTGGAACTCTGTGAATAGGTGAGGCTGACTGGGTAGCATTTGTCAGGAATAACCTATCCAGAACTGGGTCTGTAAATGTAGGTCCCATGTGCTTCTGTTAACATGGGCTCTGGGATTTGAACCCAGGTCCTCAAGCTTGGTCAGCATTTTTGTGATACTACTTCCAAACTCAAAGGTTATTATTATTTTTTTTAATTCTAGTTTTCATATTGACATTTTGTTAGTTCCTTCTCTGTTATGGGAATTTATGAGGGCAAGCCAAGCGGGGAGGCCATCTAGCTTGTACATTACTTCGATGTTCACCAGGCTCTAAGAGGTCCCTAGATTAGATGCTTTCCCTTTATTCTCAGGACACAGTCAATGTAAAGTACCACAACAATGTCAGAAAGTCTGTTTAAGAATCAGGAACTTAGTTTGTCATCAACAATGCCTGTATGCTTTCTCTCCCAGCTGAATTTAAGTGTCAGCCAGGTCGATTTCAGTGTGGGACAGGACTCTGTGCCCTCCCTGCTTTCATCTGTGATGGAGAGAATGACTGTGGAGACAACTCAGATGAACTGAACTGTGGTAGGTGACTGGAGTCCTGACACATATGTCTAAGTCTTGATTGCTTATTACTGCACTGACTTAAATACAGACTTTGGTCTCAGGTCAGATACTTTTGTTCTCTTTGTTTTTAGACACACACATCTGCTTGCCAGGTCAGTTCAAGTGTACCATGAACAGGAAATGTATCCCAATAAACCTCAGATGTAATGGACAAGATGATTGTGGCGACGAGGAAGATGAAAGGGACTGTCGTAAGTCATTCAAAATGTCCTGTCTGATTGGACTTCTAACTCCTAACTGAAACAAGAACAAAAATTAATCTTCATAAAGCCATGCAGTATAGAGAAATGAGAAAAACTGTGGGCAAGAATGATGTCATCCACTGTGCATTATTTAAGAACTTCCAAACAAAACAGAGAGAAAAATAAAAATACGGCTAAATCATTATTTTAAGAGCTACCTGGAGACTATGGCGGATGTTCTCATGCTCACCCATGCCACTATAAAGCAAAGCAGAAAACCGACATAGCAGTTGATAACAGGATACTTTTCTATAAATCGACTTTCCCCACATATTAAGTGTAGGTACTTTATGTCTATGGATTAATTAGTTATGGTAAATCAGCTCTGTTTTAATTAGCAAAATTCCTTCCATAACACACCTGTTGAAATTATGCAATGTAAAGACAAAATTAGTTATGTGATACTTCACGCAGTAATCCTTAAAGTCTATTTAAAACAGTTTAATGGTAAATTACTTTTGTTCTTGTCACATTATACACCCATCTCAATCCAAAACTCAAATATATATAAAAGAAGGCAAACCACTCTATTATACATGCTGGAATACACACGCACACACGCACACACACACACTGGACCTGGAGAATAGAGTACCTGTCAAATTTCAGTGAAATATTTCAACAAAGCTGCAGTGAACATTTCTGTCCTACTGAAGTTTTATTTTGTCCTCTAAAAGTTTTATCAGTAAATATTGTCCAGTCACCCAGCAGTTTGATTAAGATTCCATGTTCTGAATAGAGTTAGGACAGCTGCCCAGTCTCACAACGGGTCCAGAAAAGCTGCCAGGATAGTAATGCAGTTTGTAGTCTGAGTGAAGCTTTTACTACTACCTTTAAAGCTCCATACAAACCCTGAAGAATTTTATTAAATTCTATGCTTTTTTAATTTCCTCATTCATTTGATGTCTTCTGAGTTAACTCATTTTGGGCTAATAAACTAAATAAGAATGAACTCTAAAATATATTTGAAAAATGAATTAAGGGAGACTGAATTCTCCATCTTAAAAAGTAGTTTTCAAATATATAACCTGTAGGTCTTTTGAAAACTCTGATTTTATTCATATATCATCACAAAAGCATGTTTCCTTTCTATTTCCAGTAGGGGAGGGGATTGGGTTTGCATTAAAGGAAAGCATAAGTTAAGTTTCCTCTGCTTAGGACCTGATTAATAAGAAGAAGTGTCTTCATTGAACTGGCTCAAGCATTTGTCCAACCGCTTTTTATAAATAAAATATCCATTCATGCTGAATATTATACATTAATAGGTATTTTCTTCTTAAGCTGAAAACAGCTGCTCTCCTGACTATTTCCAATGTAAGACTACAAAGCACTGCATCTCCAAGCTGTGGGTTTGTGATGAGGACCCAGACTGTGCAGATGCCTCTGATGAGGCCAACTGTGGTGAGTGCTTCGTAGCTACAGAGGCCAGCTCTGTCTGTGCATTGGTGCCGTAGTCTGAACTAAATATGGAGGAAAATACTGAACACAGCTCAGAAGCGAGGTTACATGCACAAGTTTTGCTTCTATGTTCTGAGAGTCATAACAAACTCTGATGATCTGTTTATGGAAAACATAGGCTGAGACTGAAGGAAATGCGGTGGATGGGATGTTTCACAAGAGGACAGGGTAAAATAAAAGAAAATGCAGTTGATGTGCTGTTTATAGAAAACACGGAATAAGATGGAAGAGAATGCAAAGGATGAGCCATTTATACAAACCATGGGCTAAATCAAAACATAATGAAATAATAGGAAAATTAATAAAATACTCATTCCAGTTAATATATGACAATGATTATGACAATTATTTGTTTTGAAATGTTAATACTTACAATTATGTTTTTTAAAAATTCAGAATGGACATAGTCATTGGTTATTGCATGGTACCCTATTTTGAAAGTTTCAAGTTCAAGATGGAGTAAAGTGCAGCTACTAAGTCCAACTTCTTGTATCAACAGTTATTAAATACCAATTTTATCCATTTTATAGGCAAATACATCAACTAGGCATTCATAAAAGAGAAAGCATTTAAAATAGTAAATGGTTAGAAGAGATGAATTTTGTGCAAACTCAATATGGGCCTTCTATGCTATTCAGAATTTCATTAATGTACTTACAAAATTTTTTTATTGGGAAAATGATTAAAAGAATAAGGTTTTGAAATTCCATTTAAAATAAAGAGCAAAATTAAAGATCTTAAGTCATTTTGTAATAAAATTCCATAAAAATGTCTTCAAAGCCCTCAACTATTATAGCCAATCGTAGTGTCATGTAATTGTCAGTTACCACTTCGTGCCCCCAGTTAATCATAAAGGCTCCCCCTGTTACTCCTCATAAATGCCCCCATTATTATGGGCTTTGGTAAGCAAGTTAATTTCACTGGCTGGTTAGCTATGTTGTCTACTGCAAGGTTTTCAATCAAGGAAAATGTGATGTGGTATTAAATTTAAATAAGTTGCTGTCTAGAGAGTTATTTTTATAGCATAAACCTAATACTTTAACATGATATTATTTAGATAATATAATTCAACAATACATACTTTTTTGCTTAAATAATTATGAAAAATAAATGTGCCAGCTCTACACACCAACAAGGCTTGATCTTCCTACGGTAGGTTTTTATTCTCTTTAGTGTGTTTATTTCATCAAGGAATTGAGCCTAATCAACCCCAAATATAGAATGGATTGGTATGTGCTTTGATTTTTTTTTTTTTTCTTCAGTCCGTGATCAGGAAATGTGGGTGAAGTTGTCTGTGCTTTAGGAAGGTAGGAAATCAGTAGGTCTCAAGTTAGAGCAAATACATAGGGAACAAAGAACTATTTCAAACGTGTATATTCAGACTTGCTATTTGTGGATAGCAAGTTGTGAACTAGGGACTGGCGAGATAACACAGCGGGCAGAGGTGCTTCCATACAATCCTGATGACCACAGAGCAATACCTCATTCTCACAGTGGTGCAGAGGTCGATGACTTCCCTGAGAGAGTAGTCCTTTGGCCTCCACATGAGCTGTGGCTCATGAAATAAATACATAGATAAAAACATAACAAAATAAATAAAAATTCCCAAACCACATCATATCTCATGTTATTTTGAGACTTACTATTACCTACTATTTCAGTATATAAATATGTCTTAGCAAGTCATTAATTCATTTTCACACTGAAGGTTACTTCTATATATTATAATTATTAAAAGTTTGTTAGCAAATTAAGCACAAAACATTTCAGAACCCTGTGCTGTAATGACTTTGCATAGGTGTTCATTAGGTTTGACAACACCCACGAGGAGGACTGAGTTCACTCTGAAGTCGGATACAGGTTGAACTGTGCTTCTTCTTTAGAGCCTGGAATGCAGCTAGGGAGATGGACACTCAGCTCCAGCACAGATGGACTGGAGAGTAAATTATTAATTATTCTTACTGTCATTTGAAAGATGAGCCTTCAGAATGATATTTGCATTTCCTAAACATCTTCTTGTTGTGAAAGACTGTGCCTCAACATTACTTATGGGGTTAGCCAAATAAAAGTAGAGAGCAGATCTCACCTGTGGCCTGTACCATCTTCCCCTGAGAATCCTTTTGTTCACATACTTTCCTGTCTAAATGTTAAGGCAGGCACAGCCCAGCATTGTCTTCCTTTGATAGAGGTGTGGGTTTTTGCTGTATGTTAAAAAGCAGGAGAAATATAAAGGGAAAGTGTTCACTGAAACTTGTGTAATTTTACTGTGCTTCAAAACTATATTTTTGACTAACAACATTTTGATTATATTAACCATATATCTTATATGATCCTGGGTTTCCTCAATCAGAATGATTTATTTCCAGTTCCATCCATATACCTGTAAATATCATTTTTATAAACAGCAGAAATTATACCATTATGTAAAGAAACCAGAGTTTCATTATTCATTCATCAGTAGAAGAGTATTTAAGGTGTTTTTATCTCTATTTCCTGACTATTGTTAATAGAATATCAGTGAGCATGGATGAGCAGGTATCTCTATAAAAGTATATAGGTTCCTTTGGAAATATGCCCCCAAATTATGTAATAGTTACTATTTTGTTGCTATGATAAGACACCAAGATCAAATGTAACTTTTGAAATTTTATGTTGTCTCACCTCTTCTAGAGGGATAAGAGTCCACCAGTCCACCATGACAGGTAGGCATGACAGAAAAGGTAGACATGACAGCAGAGTAAGGTATCTGATAGTTCACAAGCAGGTCAAAGAGAGATAAACCTGGAAGTGGGAGAAGGCTAAGGAATGTCAAGACCCATTCATGATGTAATTCATTCCCACATAGCCACACATCCTAAAATTATACGGATAACATAACCAAATGGGAACCAAGCGCTCAAACACATGAGCCCATAGGAGATGTCTTATTCCAGCAACTACATGGTACCTGTATTCCCCAAAGACTCACAGTAATACAAAATTAATTTAATCTAACATTAAAATGCCTAACAACCTTTCTCATTTTCAGCACTGTTTAAGCACCCATGTTTCTTTAGAGACTCAAGTCAGCTTCCTAATGTGATCCTCTGTAAGTTCAAAAGCAAATTGCATACTTCTAACATGCAGTGCCACAAACTTTGTATTTATTTCCAAACGGAAAGAATGAGGTAGAAGTTAGGAAATTCTGGACCAAAGCAAGACTGAAAACCGTTAGGGTAAGTGCCAAATCCTATAGCTCCATTTCTAGTATCAAAGGGATAGAGGGCCCAGTCCCGCAAGCTTTGCTGACTACATCGTGTCTCTCTTTTGGGTTGTTTATACTTCCTGTATGGAGCTCTCCTTGGCAAATGTCTAATGGCTTCAGCACTTCCAGCGTCTTGGTGTCTTTTACATCACCAGGCTTCACTGCTTCAATAATTCTGGCCTCAACAGCTTTCTGAAACTATGGATGAAGGACCCTAGACTTACTCTTTCAGTTGTAATGCCACTAAATTTAATATTATAAGGATGATGTTGTCAGTTCTGGTTATCAGTTCTGATGAATACTCAGAACCTTGAATCATATTTGCAGAAGGTATAGTATTTAGTTGCTTTTCCAGAGCTGACAACTCCACAGCTGTTGTTAAAAAATTAGAAGCTTAGCTCTATAGGATCGTTCCTTGAAGGTACCATTCGCTTAATTTCAGTGCAGAGTGGGTAGCCCCTCCTTAATGGCAATAACCGGTTTAACAACTACAACTGCTCTGTTTCCACAAGCCTTGGCTGAAACATTAACTTTCTTGGTGTTATTTTCCTCTCCAAACTGAGATATTCTGGATTTCCTTCTGCCCCACCTGTTATTTTTTGTATTGTAGACTTGTCTAAAAGAAATTATTTGAAACTGTGGCACAGACTCAATATTATATTGCCGTGATACTTCCTCTTCCAAAGAAATTAGTCTATTTGTTTCAAATTACCCACAGGTAAGTTCTCAGGAAATAGTAAAAAAGCAGATTCCATGCCAAAATATTACAGGAATGGCTTCTACTAGAGTGCTTCATTTAGGTTTGCTTCCAGAAGTCAACAACTTTTCTAGAAAAGTTTGCTTCCAGAAAGTTAACAACTTTCAAACCCCTCCAAAATCCAAGGTGTTCAGGTTTATCACAAAACACCCTACTTCTCATTCCAACTTCTGTACTTGTTACTTTTCTGTTGGTGTGATAAAACACAATACACAGAAGCAATTTATGAGAGGGTTTATTTGGACATACCTCTTCCAGGAAGGTAAGGCACCCTCCAAGAAGAAACGTATGAAAACAAGCTGTAGTTATGAGAGTGGGATAAGAAAGCTCAAGGATTGATCATATATCAACCACAAGCAAGTAGCAGAGATATCAATCTGGGCATGGGAAAAAGATCAACTCTTTCCCCCAGCAAAATAATTTTCTAGCAAGACTATACCACTTTCATCTCCCTAAGCAGAACCACAAAACAGGACTGAGTTCTTGAATACATGAGCCTATAGAGGGCATTTCTCAGTCAAACCAGCACTGGTGTATAACTGGATCATATGATATATCTACTTTTAGCATTTTGAAGTGCCACACTGATTTTCAAAGTGGCACACGAGTTTTTTTCCCTATAACCATGCTAACATTGTTCATAATTTTTTCATATTTATTTATTTTATTTACTTTACATCCTTGTAGGTCGTTCCTTCCTCCCCTCTCAGTTCCACCTTCTCTCCCTCTCCTCTTCCCCCTACCCCTTTTCTCAGAAAAGGTACCCCCCTTTCCCATCCACCCCAGCTCATCAAGTTGTATCAGGACTGAGTATGTCCTCTTCCCCTGTGGCCTGTCAAGGCAGTCCCAACAGGGGAAAGTCATTTAAAAGCTAGCAACTGTCCCATGCAGTCTCCACTTCTCTTACTAGAGGACCCAGCTGAAGCCTCAGCTGCCCATTTG